CAAGCAAGCAAGCAAGCAAGCAAGCAAGCAAGCAAGCAAGCAAGCAAGCAAGCAAGCAAGCAAGCAAGCAAGCAAGCGAGCAAGCGAGCAAGCGAGCAAGCGAGCAAGCCAGCGAGCGAGCGAGCGAGCAAGCCAGCGAGCGAGCGAGCGAGCAAGGCCAAACACACACGCTGCCAAAACATGCGCAACTATTAAAACAACTCAGCCCAACTGCCTCCAACGACTCTATCAAAAACAAAGCCCGGCTAAATTCTCAGGGACCTGTTCTGAAAACGGTGAGGGATTACCGTCATTTCAACGCCAAAAAACAGTGATTCACGAGTGACTCAACTTCCAAAACTGGGAGCCTCCTTCTGCTTGACCCGCATCACGAAGTAGAAATAATCTTCTCGAAGCGATGGCAAGAAGGGCGTCATCCTTGCTCTCTCCTGAAAGCAACCATTACAAGTGGAAAACAAATTTCGTCAAAGGTCACTACACATGAACACCAAAAGAAACCGCCGCAAAACACGCTCACTGTTTTGAGCGGGGTGGCCGAGACCTCCTGCCGCCCTTGACCTGGAGGCTCCCAGACCAAGGTTCTCCCAAACTCTGTCAACAGGTCCATCGTGAAAAATGTTTGCCCTCTTCTGATCTTCTCTTTTTCCCGAGAGCGTCTGCGAAGGGTTCTTCGTAAAAAACATCTGCAGAACTACGTCTCATCTACATCTTCACATCTTCACCTCTGCACATCTACATTGTCACCTATATCTCTGCTCATCATCACATGAGGTAGGAAAAAACATGGTACGAAAATCATGATCCCAACAGCAAACCGTATGATTTACAAGCGGTGGTCTTCATATGTGGTGATGGCGGCAACCATGGTAGTGGCAGTAGTAGTACCAAAATCAAAAAACACAGCAGCAGCAGCAGTCGGAGGAGTAGGAGTAGGAGTAGGAGTAGGAGCAGGAGCAGGAGCAGGAGTAGGAGTAGTAGTAGTAGTAGTAGTAGTACTAGTAGTAGCAGTAGTAGTAGTAGCAGTAGTAGTACTAGTTGTAGTACTAGTTGTAGCAGCAGCAGCAGCAGTAGTAGCAGTGGCAGCAGCAGCAACATCAGCAGCAGTAGTAGTAGTAGTAGAAGTAGTCAGTAGTAGTGGTCATTCTGACTGAAATGCGGACGTCGTTCAGAGGTGGTTCATAGGTCGTTTATTCGCCGAGAATTCCGGCTACATACTGTCCATCGAAAGTGAGCAGCAGCAGCAGCAGCAGCAGGAGTAGGAGTAGGAGTAGGAGTAGTAGTAGTAGTCGTAGTAGTAGTAGTAGTAGTAGTAGTGGGAGTAGGAGTAGCAGTAGCAGTAGCAGCAGCAGCAGCAGCCGCCGCAGCAGCCGCAGCCGCAGCCACAGCAGCAGCAGCAGCAGCCGCCGCAGCGGCAGCCGCAGCGGCCACATTGGGAACTGAGAAACGGTCAGGGAAGGGGGAGTTGAACCCGTGGAGGGGGGGTATATCCCTGATATATCACGGGTTCGGACTCAGGTCCTGGACTCCCATCCCTCCTTGCTAAAGCAAGACAGACTCCAGCAAGCTACAGCTAGTTCATCCACCATTTGAGCCCCTTAAAACTTTGAGGTTTCAATGAACTGTGCAATAGTAGCTCAAGTATGCTCAAGTTCTTAACATTATTGAGATTTTTGCAAACTGCGGGAGCATGATGCTACTACTTCTTCACAGGTTTTTGATCGATACCTGAGGCTTCAGTCTTTGCTCTAAGACCTCCTCATAATGCCGTGAGAAAACTGCGCTGCAACGCTGCAAAGTGTCAGGAGTGACCCACATGTCAGCGAGACAAAAATCGTAGGTCCCTAAGGCGACATCGTGCACGCATGCAGTGTAGCTGCTTTCTGGAAACCTGACTCGGGACTGTTGCGTTGCAAACCCGGGAGTGACATTCAACTGCATCCCCAAAGCTGGGAGGCCCAAAACCTTCAACAAGAAGTCCATGTAGACGCCTCACTGCATGATCCCCACCGTTCCGTCAATGCATTTCTTACCTCTTTAAAGCAGCTTCACCTCTTTCTTTCTCCTTCCCACTATTTCACGTTACAAATTCACATGTCCTTTGCTCTTTTGTACAATCTGATTCATGGTGATTGGTCCGGCAAGACTCCATCAACGCCGTATTGATTGTCCTCATTCTTGATTACCCAAGGCTGGTATGGAGCGAAAGTGGCTTGCAAAAAACTGCCCGCCACAGTTTCAAAGAGCTTGGTGCTGTCGTTGTAGGTGTTCACATAGCCACAGGTCTCATAACTGAAGAATGCAGACCTGCATCCACAAATCTTTATTCATGAATACATCTGGTCCCACAGCGAAACTCTCAAGGAGGTGTGATACCGTTTCTGCCTACAATTCATTGGTCGAGCTCGTAGAACCTAAAATGAGTGTCACACATGTAAGACCGTATTCAACGCACTCAAGCTACCTTGATTGCTTCCGAGCTACAAATTCAGGGTGCTTGCCATAGTCAGTCTTGTGCGGCAGTGTTCTGAATCGTAGCTTCCAAGCACGCCACCAGCAGCCACACAGGCTGTCTCATTTTGTAGGCAAGCATCCATGTCCACATAGCACCATGATGACTGGCACTCACCTCCCTCCCCCGTTCCGCAGGGAGATGCGCTGTCTGCCTCAGTTGCCGGATAGGCTGCTGAGATCGATAGACCTGGATCCAATCCATATAAAGCAAAAGACATGAACACAAGTAGCGATGCCAGGAGCCCCTAGTACGAGTAGCTTCTCGCTCCTAGTAGTAAGGCCAGGAGCCCCTAGTCGCGTCTTCAACCATATATATAAAACAAACAACATGCACACATGAACATGATGAGCTGCATCGTCATAGGCTCTACAACCTTGGGTCCCGTAATCTCGTTCCATGCCACGCGCAATCAGCTGCTGCTGCAATGATGCGAATCCCGCTGAGCGGCTGCTGATGCACGGGCATTCAAATGAACCTGCACCTTCTGCAAAGCAAAGATCTAAACATGTTGTATAAATGATGCTCAAGAGACATCCGCGAAGCATGGCTGCACTTATTGCCACACACGTCGAATGCTTGAGCACGTCTGCGGACGTCGACGGCGTTTAGCAAACAAAAATAAATCCGTTCAAAACGGGCAAGGGTGGTTCTCTGCAAGTCTTGAGGTGGCCCAATGGGAAAACTGGCCACGTCCGAAAAGTCTATAGCCTGCTCAGTTCTCTCAACAGCGGCAAGCGCCGTTGCTGAATGCAAGAAAAACGTCCCAACAGGTGCCCAACAAGCAAAACCCAAGTTTTAAAGTTCACATATAAGTTCTCACCCTTCAACTCAAAAAAAGACTTGCTGACAGCTGCAAACCCTCTTAAAGCCGCCTCCTT